CATTTTTCCTCTCTTGTCCTTCCTCTCCTTGGTTTTTATTTTTTACCCTCCGGCTCAACCCCCCCCCCCCCCCACCTCTGTCTCTCTATCTCCTTTTTTTTCCCACTTCCTTTCTTTCCTCGTCACTCTTTTCATTCTTCCTTCCCTCGCCTCGTTGTTTTCTTCCTTCTCTCCCTCATTCTTCTCCCTTCTTCTTCTTCTCGTTTTTGCCTCGAAGGTCCCATGGGAGCCTTGTGGTTCGTCTGCTGGAAGGCATACCAACACCACCGCCGCCACCACTGGAACCTCGCTCTCTTTTCTCTCTCTTCACCCTCTTCCTCGCTCATGTCTTTTTTTTTCCTCTTCCCTATGCTCTCCCTTTTTTTTTCCTCGTCTCTTTTTAATGTGGAAGTTTTGAGCAATTGCTGGCTTCTTCTGTGGCTTGGTGGGAATGGCATTTTTAGAAGAATGCCTCATGCTGTGGCTTCAACCCATTCCTGAGTCCCCTGCTAGTACCACACAGTCAAACACACTAACGTAGGTGTTTTAAGAACACATCTAAAGTGTAAAAGCCATTAGTTTGCAACCCTCAGAGCCATCTTAACTTGGTAACATCTGATTTGCAGAACGAAAATAGAAATAGACCCAAACCGGCTTGGAATATTGTTTGAGTTCCAGGTTTTTGGACATCAGCCCTGTTTCTATGCAGGGCTAATGAGAAGCTAGTCTGTCCTTTCAGCTCATCTTCGCCGAGGGACAGAAATGAGATTCCAATTTTATGGCACTTCTTTCAAGAGTAGCTCAGACATTTGACTCAAAGCCTCAAATGTCAGCTTCATGGTGGCCCTCTTTGAAATGTCAGGGATCAGCAAAACAAGAAAAGTCCAGTTGGAAGACAGATTCTTTCAAGCCTGTGGAATGATCAGAATTTCAGGATTCGTTGCTCATAAAACTTGGTCTGTGTCACTGTTACAGACAGGCAGGATGTGACTAAACTAAGTAGTCGCAGAGAACATGTTGGACCAATTTTTATTAAACTGGTTGATCGTTTTTAATCTCTTACTCCACCATAGTTTCTTGACTGGCTCTTCTGCGCATGTTATGGTGTCTCTTCTGGCTTGAATGTTTAAACCGTTTTCTTCTTTTTCTAACATCTTGCTGATTTTCCTTTGTTTGGATTGGAAGTAGAAAGTATGAGTTGAATAAGTGGTAATAGTAAATGAGCAATTCAGAAATAATTAAATCAAATGTCATTAGTGATGAGAGAATTAGTAGTTAAGTAGATAGAAGGTAAAAAGTAAGCATGTAATAAAAAAAAGAACTAGATGATATGTGAGTAAGTGGTAAGGGATAGGTAGTTAATCAGGTAAAGATATCCTATGCCCCATAAATGGAGAACAAAATGAGACACATGGAGAACAAGGAATAAATGGAAAACTAACAGGTTATAAACGGTAATATGTACTAAAGAGATATTTCAGAGCTGAATGTAAATTAAGTAATAACTAAGCTGTAAGTGTTATAAATGAGTCTAGGGAAGATTTGAAGAAAAACACCGTGTGGGGTGGATAATCTGAAAAGCATATCTTTAAAATATTGTTCCTCTTGTGTTTAGTTGTCTTTTCCTGTCTGGATTTGCTCTATAAAGAAAAGATTTCCATCTGAAAATGTATTTTACTGAAACAATTTTCTGACAGCCAAAGTCCAATAAACCTTAAAGAAAGTTTAAATGTTGTGGATAAATTCAACTCTACGCTTTATTTCAGATTGAGTGAAGGTGATTAATTGTCTCAGATGCCTCTTCTCCTCACGTGGTGGATCACGTTTACATTCTCCTCCCAGAACAATTTTAACCATTTTCCTGTTAGGTTTATTACTAAAGGTGGTATGCTGCATTCTTAACTTTTACATTTTCTGCAGAGTGCTGGAACGGTGCGACACCAACAGAATGACCACCCAGAACATCGGCATTGTGTTCGGGCCGACCCTGATGCGCCCAGAATGCGATAATGGCAACATGGCGGTGAACATGATTTACCAGAACCAGGCAGTGGAGCTAATCCTGAGCGAGTTTGACCACATCTTCAGAACAAGAGGCCTCTCTTGATCTTTTCAGGCCAGGAGGTGGTGGCAGCTCAGCCCCCCACCCATGGACCCCGTCCCCACCCCCCTCCTAAATCCGACTGAAGCAGAAGCATTGCAGCAATGGCCTGTAGACTCATATGGTGTAAAATGGATTTCACATCAAAAGATAATTGTGGGGTACAAAGAACCAGGACAGAAAGCTGCTAATCATGACATCTGGCCTCCATAAAAAGCCATGTTAAAACAATAATAGTAAAACAAGCCAATTTTAGCTGCAATGCTTGTGCCTTTGAGCGCAGATGTGGAGCCCAGCCCCAGGGCAGCGCAGTGCTGGAACAGACGCCTCCTAGTCGCTTCTAGTTGATGTTTCAGACTCGATCGAGGCGAACAAAAAACCCCATAAAACTGATAAATCTCCTCCAGCTAGAAAATCATCAAGCAACATGAGGAGGGACGTGTCTTAACGTTGCTCTGAAACAGTACTTAGCAGAACCATCTCACTGTGAAAAGCACCGGTTTGTCTTGCAGAACGGACAGACAAGACCCCACCCAGGGCACTGGCGTGGATTTACTGCGTACTGGAAAAAAGTGCATTTGCATGAAGATTAATCTGTGTATTGCTCAGAAGGAGAATTTGGAATAGTTTTGAAAATGTTTCTAAAGATTAAAGTGTAATTTTCAGTGAATGGATGAATGTGCCAATTGGGCTATAAATGTTCCTTTTTAGTATTTTCAGTGTGAACCTTCAGAGCTTTTCTTGTACAAATATAAATCTATTTTATTAGTACAAACTCCTTGTATTAAGTTAAATGTAAATAGCTACATTTCTGTCTATCCCTTAGAAACACTTTATATAGAGTGTGTAACCTGAGCTTTCTGTACTAGTTAAATACAAACTAATAAGAACGAAAGGTCTTTGTTCGTGCTTCTCCGTCCTAATTATCAGCTCTCTTCCAATAAAAACAAGAGCAAATTTGATGTGTTGTCTGAGATTCGCTCAGGATGTCCGTGTAAGGTTGTTTGTTGCGAGTGGCGGGTTTGCGTGCAGAGATAGTGGAGGCGTGTGGAGGTATGTGGGCCTTGGAGACTCGGCAGGCAGAGTTGTCCCCTGTGATTGGTGCGAATGCTGCTTTTAATAACAGAACAAAAGGGGAACTGGAAATGCATATGTTTTAAAAATGTGGATTTTCCCCCTCAAGCCCTCTTGCTCTGTGGCTTGGGTAATTTTATATTGACTGTGGGTTTGGCAGAAGACAAAAAAGAGCCGAAAGGAGGCACTGCAGGGGAGGGAGTGGGTTAAGTTTTTATTAAAAGTGTTTCTTCATTTGTGTGTTTGTATCATTTGAAGTCTGGCGAGTTGATTGAAAGAGGCTAAAACTGCGTTTGACTGATGAGGAGTCGTCGTAGCTTCATGCCTGTTAACTCCCAAGGATGTCCTTAAATTTGATTGGCTTAAATATTTTCATCTTAAACAGACAAACCACTGTTGTTTATTTTATCCATATGATGTGTGCATGGTTTACATCAGAGTTTATATGCACGCCCTTCAATCGGGGTTTTTTTTTTTTTTTTGTAAATTTTGACAGCGCTGCACCAGAGGCTCCTTACATTATATTAGAGGTTTGCATTCAGTTTATCGTCTAAGAGAAATGTGCCCTCCTACCAACACTGATGTATCCAATATTTCATGAGAGATTTCTGCTGTATGTTTTGTTCTTGTTCCAAACTGTCAGATGGGGGGGGGGGTCCATTCTGTTAATAAAGCGTTTGTGGTATTAAACAGCAGCAAAATCAACTCTGTCATGTTTTTTTTTTATTTCACTTTAGGGTGACGTTACTCATCACCCACTAAAAATACACCAAACAGTTTTTTTCTAATAAACACTTTATTTGGTAAAATTAGATTTTTAAAATATTATCCCTGAAATTCATACCTCTAAAACTATGCAACACCTAAAATATGTCTTGCGGATCAATACAAGCGAGTAAAGCAGCAGCTGCTTTGCAGACATCTGGAGAAATTTGCTTACTATCCATTTTAGACACTTGTTTGAACCCTTCTCTTTTTTTGCATCTGTTGGCAGTTAGTTTGATTTTTGTATCACTGAAACAAAATGTTTTTTGGTCTGGAATATTTGGAAAATTTGTGGAAAGGGCTGTGAAATGTTTACATATGTTACTTTTTTTTTTTTTTTTTTTTTAACCAAATGTCTCTCCAAGCTAATTTAATTTTCACTAAATCTGAATGAAGACATGGTGCTCACTGGCCTGTTGTAGATTAAAATGATCACAACAGAATTTGACTGTAGCTGAGATGGATCGATGTCTTTAGTCTGCCGTCATGCCTTTTAAAGACTCATGTTAGTAAATTAAGCATAAACTAAATGTCAGGAAGGGCTTGCCAAACTCCACTGATCTTCACCTGTACTTCACAGATGTTGCTGAGAAATGAAACTTAAACTTGTGCTCGTTCAGACTGCATGTTGCTCATACAACTGGTATTTTTCCACCAGAAAAGTGCTGCAAATAAAAAAAGTTGTACTTGTACAGTTCACTAAACACTGGTGATGCATGAAGTAAATGCATCTGATCCACGTCACCCATTGCAGCAAGTTGATGCTACAGTGTATTTGTTTTTTCCTTTAACCTGTCATTAACCTAAAACTCAGCATATCAAATATCAAAAGATGCCACACGCGGGTTTACAAGAGAAATTTAGTCACCATTGCTGAATCATCATGCAAATAGACAGTGCCACAAAAAAACACAATGTAAGTAAGAACTCCCTGGTGATCGCTGATGGTTTACTGCTTTTAGTGATGGGAAACTGACTGGGCTGAGGTCACAGCGCAGTTTCAGCCATCCCATACAAATGTCAGAGCTTGTTTTGAAAACTGGAAAAGCATTTGATTTTATTGGTGTTTTGAGGACTATTCAGACAATTCAGTGACGTAACTGTAAAAATGAACAAAACTTATATCAACTTCGACTTTTAAAGGAAAAATATAATTTAAAGGTATGAAACCTACAGTGTTAAAATATAAATACATCGTAATTAGCCTTTCTATCACTTTTCAACTCAGTTAATTAATGTTATAATATATTTTTGACCACAACAACTCTTTTGAGGAAGTGGGATATGACGTGTCATCTGCACAGCGTCTTATAGATTTTGATTATGCTTTATATAGTAACTGTTTTCTTTAATAAAACACTTTCTTTTTAACAGGAATATATTTCATGGATGTGTGGCAGATTATTGGTAACCCAAAAAAGAGACATACTGATAACACCATTGCTTCAGATGACATAAACGGGTAAAGACCAGACTATGGAGGTAATCTATCTGGTTAAATCACCTATCTGGTCTATCAAGTAAGAAAATTATTTCTTTTTCTGCAGTTTTTAGTTTTTTTATGTGTCCATCAGTACAAAAAGAACGTCTGCTGTTGTCTAAAGATTAATTCAAATTCAGTAGACAATTAATGAATAAGCATCAGCCTCTCTAAACAATCCTCCTGCATGTTTAGCCACAATATGTGCTAAAAAGCACCACTGCTTTTTAGTGCCTGAGCCAAATAAAGGACAGGATGTTTGACTGCAGCTGTAACTTGATTGTATATCACCATTTCCATTTTCATCTCTCACGTGTATGGCTTTAAGATGACTTGTTATTTAAGTGTAATGAACTACACACAGGCTGCAAGGGTTTGGTGGACAGACAAGGTTTTGACAGCAACATCATGGTAACGCATGAACTGATTATGTGGTGAAAAGTGTGTTTTGTAAAACCATCAGGTATTTTGGTGGCACAGTGTTTGAAAGAAGCGTGCTAATGCATGCCTGTGCACAGCACTGTAACAATGTCCTGTCCGAAATTAGAGTTTCTGTCATAAGCAGTCACTACGGAAAATCACAGCCAGACTGAAAGCACCTAAGAGTTCGTCCACTCAGATAATTCTCCTGACTTCCTCCACCTCACAGGATAAATCACCTTATAAATATTTATTTTATAAAATTAAATTTAAGCTGCAGACTTTGATTTTGACCTGCATTATAGTTCCCTCAACTTCAGTCCACTCCTGAACAGAATTTAAAGGGGCAAAAGTTGTAAAAGTTTAATTTATGCTTTTAAGATCTTCTCCCTCTTTAATATCTGGATCTGAAATCACGAATCAGGACAAATTGTGCAAAAACTGTCATTTTTAATTAGAAAAATAAATGAAATACAAGAATTTCAAGGCAAATTCTGTATATTTCTGTTACAAAAATGAAAATATATATATACATATAAAAAGTTTATATAAAACTTGCATGAATGTGGAAAAAAAAAGACCTTTTAAAAAGAAACCAATAGAAAGGTGTGCAGCAACTGAGTGAATGTGAAACTTGCATTTGCCTGTTCTTTTGCTGGAAGATAACAGGTGAGAAACTATGCAAGAATAGCATAGCAGTTGGTGTGTCACATATGCATGTCTTTGGTGATACGTTCGCACACACACATATATTAACAAGAAGTATCTTTGGCACGCAGTATGCATGAGCGCTGCAAGCTTAGTCACACCTTATGCACCACTGTCTGCAAAGTTTCATCGTACGAAGGCTTTTTCGGATTACTCACAGTTGTCTGAGTACATCTGAGGCACTTTTCACGTTGACTACACCGCAGTCAGAAAGAGGAAGTTTAAAGCTGATCTATGCGCCCTGAATCTTGACCCTCTTGCCACACCTCGTCAAAAAAGCTTAAGTGTTTGACAAGTTAATGCTCTGTTACTGTAAAAATAGGCCAGAGCGCATGCAAATCATTACAAGAAATTGCAGATGTCTTTGGACCTGGTGAATTTGTGATAATCAAACAAACGGTAAAACGTTCCAAAAGGTATCTGATGCCTGAAGGGGAAAAACCCCCGGACACTATGTTTATCTTTTGCCCCCGTTAACATCTTATGCAAAGATGCAGAAATGACTGTCTTCCCAGTAAGGCAAACGCTTAAAAAGGTGCAGGCCACTGCCTTTTGTTTGAAGCATGAATAAACAGCTACCTTCCCGTTGTTCCTCTTTTTTTGCTGCATGTTTATAACATTTAACAGATGACTGACTGAGGCCACCGAGAACCGTTGTTCACCTGGCAATAAGTTATTATTATTATTTTTTTGGGGGGGGGGGATTTCACAGCAAACAATGCAGTCAGCTCCAGTAAATATAATCAGTCACATGATTTGATTGAAGCAAACTCTTACATGTCACAACAAAAATGTGGGATCTCACATAAAATGGCAGAAGATAGAAAAAGGTTTTGTGCACTTAATTAAGAGCAGAAATGATTTTTTTCAAGCTTTGGTCAGACATTAAATGAACACCAACATAACTGTTAAAGACAGAAAACGTTTGTTTTAAGATTAAGAACAAGTATGTACGAGTATTATTTAATGTGCAATAGGGAGCAGCAAGCATTGAAGATTTATGTAATGCCACATCCGAATATGACATAACTTTAGTTCAGTTAACCCATTTGGGTTAAAAAAACAAACAAACAAAAACAAAACAATTGGAATAACACTGTAAGTAACTGAAGTCTATTGAACATGATAAAATACTGTCATTTCCATTGACACAAATATAACTGGCATGGCTTCATCCATTTAAGGCCACAAAATCGTTGGTGTTTTGTGCATTTTGTCATGAAAAACAAGAAAAACACTCTGTTGCATATGTAGGAATATATAAAATTAAAAGTCTTAAAGCTTGTTAAGGTCATGTTAAATTAATATTCTAGGTAATTCTGTTAAATCCATGTTCATTTCACATTTATCCAAGCCTCCATTCTGGTCCTCAGTGTCTCTGTCCCACATTTGGTTCTCTGTGTTGTTAATATGATTTCCTGTTTCACAGTTAATAAGCTTATTTTGCAGTTCACTCTCCCCGGTGGGTGACCCTTCATTGGGGCTACTTTCCAGCTCCTCTGCTTCTTCCAACAAACCTTCATGCATTTTCCTAACTCTTTCCTCCTCTTCCTCCCCCTCTTTCAGAGTGTCCGCAGCTCCGTCCAGGCTGGAGTCGCTGAGGAAGGAGTGGGCCGTGTGTGGGTCGTCTGCAGACAGAGATTTGTCTTCACCCAGGCTGCCTACCAGACTGCTGCCGGCTCCCGGGGTGAGAGGCATGTCCTCGTGATCCTGGTCCAGATCCTGGTCTTTGCTGCAGTACGCGTAGCGGTGGTTCATGTGCTGGGAGTAAGAGCCTGAGTGGGAGAAGCGTTTGCCGCACTTGTCACATTGGTAGGGTTTCTCTCCGGAGTGCAGCCGGCTGTGCTCGATCAGGTGGTGCTTGTGCTTGAAGGCCTTGTTGCAGATCTTGCACTCATGAGGACGTTTGCCTGAAACAACACAAAGAAGTTGCCTCCGTTTAAAAAAAAAGAAAAAAATGGATGCATTAGTAGTTTTTAGTGAAAAACACTTTCTGAAAGAATTTGTGAAATTTCTGCTGATATTGGCATATCATCAAGTCAGGCTGTTACATAAAGCATAAACACATACTTAAGCTCTGTACCCACTTGTGGTTTCATGCATGGGTTATGAGCTGGCTTATGATGCATACAACTGTTTAAAAATAAATTAAATATATCTTGGCTATTCTTGGACTTTAGAAGTACGAGCACCTGCAATCAATGCTGCCTTTTCTTTTTTGCTTTGGTGAAGCTGCAGATTTAATCAAGTATTTCTCTTCTTTGTTAACACTTAATGGAGCAAAGTTCAGAAAATGTAAAGCAGTTCTTTCTGCAATTTTAAATAAGTA